AGACAACGTGATATATTTTTACCGACATTGTTCATATTCCTTTGGCAAGCTACACCACATTCAGATTCTGCCATGTTCTACTTCACGTACGTGTTTGAACAGTCTTTATTTTGGCCTTTCTGTTTCATATTCACATATTATCCAATTAATCAATATTAATTATAACTAATTATAATTAATTAAAGTTATTATATTTAGTTATATTTTAATTTAATTAATTATAATTAAAGCTAATTATAATTATTTTTAATTTAATTAAATATAATTAATTAAAGACAATTATAATTAACTATTTAATTATAGTTAATCATAATTAATTATAATTGATAAAAAATTATCCAGTTAGGAAAGTTGAGGTATTAGATTTGACTTATATTAAGAAAGGTAGAGGTAGATCTAAAAAGATTTGGTTAGAAAATATTAGAAATGATCTTTTTTATTAGATTTAAATGAGTATATGACTTTTAACATGACACGATGGCGATAAAGGATTAATGTAGCTGATCCCACGTAGTGGGACAAAGGCTTGATGTTATTATTGTTGTTGTTATTGTTGATAATAATTGATAAAAAAAAGGAGGAGAGAGAGAGGGAAAGGAAATATGTCTTGTCCAGCTCCCCGCATTTATCCCAAATAGGGGATATGTTGGGATGTTGTTGAAATTCAGATTGCAATGCACATAAACTGAACAACAGAAAATCAAACTTGAATTGAATAAGCAAGTACCTCTGAAGACTCATACACCTTTCTTGGCGTGGCGGGATTGAAAACCACGACTGTGGTATTTACGGACACCTGCCATAACACACTTTTCTTAGCGTGGTGGGAAGGCTCTACTCCCCACATTTCCCCCAAATCGGGGATATGTTATGATGCTGACAAAATTCAGACTGAAGTGCATAAAATCTGAACAATAACAAGACATGACTTGAGCATCAAAAAAGCGGACCTGTACTTGAACAAAAATGCACAGAACCTGAACAAATGCGCAGGAGACTTGTATAACAGGGGACCTAATTCAAACTGAACAACAGGGGATTGAATTTTAGTTGAACGCAAGGAACATAACCCTAAAATATTAAAATGCACAATTAACATAAAAATGCAAATCATGAAATGCAATTTAAGTCGTTCAAACAAATATGCTTGAATAAATAATAGGTTACTCATGATGAATAAGACTCCAATGCATATAGACAATGAACGTTAATCAATTCATAGCAATTACAAAACAAATATCAACCATCAATGCCTGAATACATGGCATACAATGAAAGATGTTGTTTGGTACATGATAGATGTAGTGGACTCCTACAACAGTTCTCATGCTGTTAAGTGCATTGTACTTGCAAGCAACATCAACCACTTAAAGAATGCATAGGTGTCCCCTACATGCATCAATGAAAGCCTTAATGCAAGTAGCAATCAACTTGCAATTTGAAATAGTGATGCATGCAAGCAAGAACAGGAGGAATATCATGTACGTAGAAGATTAAACAAAGGCAATAACAGACAAAAGGCACTGAATGTAGCGACGCCTTGAAGTTGACATCAATCGCTTGCATATAACCCATCATTGCAAACAAATACAAATACCACCTATGAATTATGATAGTTGGTACAATGTAAATGCCATATACATGTGACTAATGTCGCTTGATTGCAAAGAGCATGTGATAGTCAATTCGCAAGCAGTTGTAAAGGACAACATATAATGAATGTGACACTGCTCTACATGCAATTAAAGTCATGGAATGTGAACATAATAAGCCATTTGTGGATAACAACAGTGGGTATATCGAAAGTACAACGAATCCCCTGTTGACACAAATACATACAACACCTATAACAACGATGATTGAGATGTTGCGAGTATAGTAGATCCCCTATAAAGATAGAAGCATGTTCACCTTACCAGAGTTGAAAGTTTTGTTGATCAAGTACATTTAAGTCCTTCAATTGATAATTTAAAAATACTTTGATATTGACAGTGAGGTATAAAGGCAATGTGATGTATGGAGAAAATTCGTTAATACATCATCAAAGGAAGATCCTATTTGTGATGTGGAGAATACAAAATTGAATGATTCTATAGAGTCAAAGAATGATCAGTCGAAGAGATGTTTTATTTTATCATCTCTACGGAAACAATGAAGACTTCCGACAACTACAAGTGTTTTCAAGCTGCTGCAAAGAACTCACTAATCTATTAACAACAGAAGACCCTAGATACGACACTGCGACGCGAAGTCAAATGATTTTATAAATGATTTTGTAAAGTCAAAAAATGATCAGTTGAAAAGATATTTCATCTTATCATCTCTACAGAGACACTGAAGACTTCCAAGAACTGCAAGCATTTGCAAGCTGCTACAAGGACTTCGCTAATATACTAATAACAGATGGCCCTAGGTACGACATTGTGACGCAAAGTCAAATGATTTTATGAATAGTTTTGTAGAGTCAAAGAATGAGCATGTGAATAAAAATGAATAGTATCTTATTTTTTCATCTCTATGGGCTTCCGAAAACTATGTCAGGCCATTTAAGTGAAGACTCGGAGATTAAGCCCCTCAACTCAATGTCCTACCCTCGTGACGAGTCGAGTACAAATCAATATAACGATGTATTAACCAAGCCTTTGGTTTCATCAGATGAGGATACTTCATCTATCACAAAACGATCCAGATGTGTTTACCCAATCTAGACAAGGGTTGGTTGGTTCATAGATATGTCCTCCTGAAGATTGAGAAAATGGAGCCTACATTAGAACAATGAGGTATATAATAATCGAATAACAACGCTACGATTCACCTATAAGCCGTTTGTGGACCTACAACACTCGTACAAACAGATAGAAGACATCAACAAAAACCCAAAAAAAAAACCCGCGTGTTTAGCAACAATAGTCTCTTATGCAGCCTGACACCCCTTTATATTGCATGCAAATATTTCTAAATGCCCCTCATACATGCATCGTAATAAGCATGATAGGTTACATAAACATATCATCGAACATTGTATTTACAAGCATGTGTTTCATGTGCATGGCCAAGGTTCTTTCTATGTGCATCTGTAGGATGCGGATGATTTCATTCTAGCGTGTCACTTTGACATCACTATTGTATTTCAAAAATACCTCCGTGTGCATTTATAATAAGCAGGGGGTATCACTCAAGTATGTCATTTGACATTGTAATTGAACTTTAAAAATCATCCTCCTGCATAAACAGAGAGTTTACTCCAATGTGTCATCTGACATCATGATTATATTCCTAAATGCCCCTACATACATCTATAACAAGTAGAGGGTATCACTCTAGTGTGTCATTCGACACTATGATTGTATTTCAAAAATCGTATCACGCACATTTGGAAATGCATCGTGTGAAATGCATACAATGACATATACCTACGTAGGCCCTGACGAGCGTGTCATAGGTACATATGTGACATTTGAGAATGCCGCGCGAGTTAAGAAATAAAATTTATATTAGAACCTGATCCTCTGTCGACGAGTAGGTATAGTTGACAAAGCTCAATCAATAAAAATGTAAAAACTCATGAACTCCCCGATGATGGCCATGTTGAATGTTTATCTCAATCGGAGGGGACATATACTTTCAAATACCCTCAAACATTCACAAAATACAAATATTTTCTAAATAACCTCAAAGTTACCCCGATGATGGACGTGTTGATAGAAAATATCAACCGGAGGACTTAATTTTAAATATTTAAAATGCCTTCAAATGCTCATAAAACCTCAAAATTCTAAATAATCATTCAAGATCAAGATATTTAAAATGAAATAAACTATCAAACACTTAAAGCAAATGCACATCCATCCTCCACAATAATTTATCGAGGTAGACAAATTGAAAACTACTCCAGCTCACAAAGAGCTAATGTCTAGATGATAATATTGCTAGAATTCATTCTTATTCTGTCTATTGCCAGCAAAGACATGGCATGTGTCCTCTAACATGTGGTTTCGCCGCCAAATGACACCACACCTATGGTTTCATCGCTAAGTGACGCAACTGGTAAATGGTTTTTATTGGGACCCTCTGAACTGGGTGGTTTGCCGTCAAATGGCACCATTATTTTACAGTCATGGTCAGAGCTTGTATACTCCCCACTAGCATTAAATTCTTGAGATATGAATCAATAGGATATGATCGATGGGCACAAAGTCCTCTATTAGCTAAGGTGGATTCAAATTTGTCCCCTTAAACAAACATCCACCCCAGGTCTACAAAGTACCCTTGGACGATACAACCCAGGCTGCTGACAAGGATCATTTTGTCAGGTTGGGTCGAGTACCTCCTCGGTCTAAGTAGACCAAGGACCATGATGGCTGGGGACGACGGAACCATAGGATCTTGATCAGGCGCCCATCATCACTCCCCCCCCCCTCGCTTTAAGTGCAAGATGATGAAATTTTAAATTTTAAATATCAAATCTTTAAACACCAAAATTAATGTTGCTATTGTACGTCGGATATCACATATCCACGGATATGACGTATTCATCGACGACTAGCCTTAATCAAAAGTTCTCTCTCATGATCGGGATGGGTAATTAACTATCGAGGCTTGCGCCTATAGGAAAACAGAACTCAGATTTAAAGTCCTCGCAAAATGATGGCAAAATCTCTTAGTGTGTCTTATCTACAATCTCAATTTGTCTTCTGAAAATTTACCTCGAAACTTAATCTGTCAAAACTTCCTCTAACAGTGAAAGAAAGCGGGGGAGGCCGAGGCGCGAATTTTTGGAGCCCACAAATTCCTTTATTGTTAGACAACTAAGAAGAGCACAGAAAAATGTTGTTCCTGTTATAGAAAATCTTAACATCGACTTGCAAAGTTCATTATAGGAGGGTTGTATTATAGCTATGAGGACCATCTCGATACCAAATATGTTGAAGGAGACCTACAATATCTCCAAGAAGGAATATTGATGCAGGACTGAATATTTAGGTAATGTTTAGATAGGAATTTTGCACGCTTGAATTGTTAGAAACAATATTAATTAAACTTGAAGAGATTCAAACGATGAAGTAAAACAAAAGTGGGGTGAATTTAGTTTAGGCCAAGTTACACTCATGAAAGCTAAGACCTTTTTAAATAGCCATTAGATCAAACATACATACATAGAAGAGCTTCAACAAAAATCTCTTAGTTAACAACGAGATAAGTCACTATGAAAAGATTCACTCACTCAACTCTCTAAAATTATTAAGCTTTAGCGGAGGGATTGTTTGGGTGCATGAGAGGAAGTGGACAACAACCACAAACCTTCTAGATATTGTGGACAACAATCTGGAACTTCAGGACAGCACACGAAGATCTACCGACCGGCTGGACAGCATGAAGAAGTGCAGAAGTTTCTCTGGACAGCTGCCAAACACTGTCCAGGAAATTTTGACAGCACTTTGGCAACCCTAGAATTAGGGTTAAAAGTTGTTTTGGGGAGAGGAAGGGTGGAGGAGGTGGGTGGTCAGCTGAGACTAGGGAAGAGAGTTTCTTCCCAAAGAAAAATATGAAATTCAGTTTCAGATTTGGGTAAGTGAGATTTTGTATTTTGAAATTTGAATTTCAAGTAAAGGGAGGAGGGAAAAGTATTCCTTAATGAGATGCTAGATTGAGGCCTTTAGAGGGAGAGGGAGAGATTGGAAAGAGAGGGTGGGCCGGCCAAAGAGAGAGGGAAGGGATGTGTCTAGGTTTGATGAATGTAGGAAGAGGTGTCTATGTTCAATGAATGTAGGAAGAGGTGTCTAGGTTCGATGAATGTAGGAATTTTGAATTGATTCCCAATTAATTTCAGATTTAATCATTCCTTGATTGAGGAGAGACTTTCCCAAATTAAACGAAATAATTTAGGAAAGAATTTGAAATTTCAAATTTATTTGAATTTGAATTCAAAGACTTACCAAAATTAGAATGACTTAATTTAGGAAAGAACAAGTTTATGATAGAAAGGAGGGACGATGGCCAGCGGCTAGGAGGAGTGGGTAGGGTTTAGGTTGGCCAACGATTTTTAGAGGTGGAGATGGGGAGGATTGGTCGGCGGGACTTTGGAGAGGATTGGATGGGGAGGCCGACGGCTAAGGAAGAGGAAGAAGGAGAAAAAAAGAAAAGATAGGGAAGAAAAAACCACGAACCCGGATGCTTCCGAGGTTGGTGGGTGATCCAGTTCCCTCTCCTAGGGATTTCTCTCCAAGACTCAAGCTCTCACAAGAACTCACTTTTGCAGGAATTTTTATAATAATCATTCATTAGTCCTCTCAAAGAAGAGAAGGTACTTTAAATAGTCCAATAAACAACAACAACAACAACAAAAGACATCATTGTCCCTAGGGCTTATAAATTATTAATCCCTTTAGGGCATAAATAGAAAAATGCATAAAAATAAATACAACACATATAATCAAAAATAAAGATGTGATATCGTGGTCGTAGATCGTTGGCCACGTCTCTGATATTACTTTCCATGATCGGATGTCCCCATAAAAACTACTCTCAAATCAGCCAAGAGATTTTCTTAAAAGTGAGGTTATACGATGAGTCAGGAGAGTAAATTAATATAAAGGAGGGACAGAGGATAAGCCACAAAAGTCAAACTAGGAAGGAGAACTGTAAGATTAGAAGGAAGATGTAGTTTCTAATTTGCTAGGATTTTGAAGAGTTTGGTATTCATTTTATTTTTATGAATTTGTATAATCCTTGAAACTAAGGAAGCATATTAGGTTTGTTTCTTCTGTTATGTGTTTCCTTTTTTTTTATATAATTGTAGAATCATTTAAAATAGGGTGACTTATCAGGGTTTTTTTTTCCCTTTATTATTTGTTTCTTTTTTGTTAGTTTCTTAATTTAAAACCCTTTTAAGTCTATTTAAACCTCCAGTGGAGCAAGAAATAATACAAAAGTTTATATTTACAACCATGCTTTAAACTGTCTAGACTTCTTTCCTTTCCACAAGTTCTCTCCTCATAGGTCCTTTCTAGCAGCTGTCAGAAGATCTAGTAGCCGTCTACACCTCTTCAAGAAGCTCATCATGACCTCCTAGTCCTCTCCTTGCTTTTTCTAGCACTAGGAATTTATCAAGGAAACAATTAGAGTTATAAGGGTAGTTTTATTTCTCTGTTAGCTAGCATATTGCTTGAGGGAAAGTAAATTAGGCTTCAAAATCCAGAATCTCTCTCATAGGAGTTGTAGAAGCTTGAAACTGTTGAGATTGAGATTAGTTAAATTATGGTGCATTACTTAGCGGAGACATCCTAGAAAAATCTTGCCTATTTCTCACAACAATCAAGTTAGGTCACAGTATGTTACTTATTGGAAACACCCTAACATGAGTTCAATGCAAAGTTTAATTCTTCTTGGTGGATGACATTCACTTTAGATTATGGAGGAATTACTTTTACATTTTAATAAAGTTATATTTTTATTGTTGTTCAACAGATGTGTATGCTTCACCTATTTGAAGATGTACTCTGCCCCCTTACATGTTTATTTATGCATCTCTTTTTGATATTTGTGCTTATATATCTCATGTGCTTAGCTTCAAATTCAATTTTCTGGACACATTAGGTTTAATTTTGGCCATCTTTCTCATTAGTTAGATTTTTGAGACAGTTTTCATACTTCAACTTGGCTATTGCTTTCATGTTTTTTTTTTTTTAATTTTAGAGTGAAAGCCCAAAATACTCCCCCGATTATTAATAAATATCCAATTTAGTCATGGACTTTCATGATGACCCAATTTAGTCCTCTGATAATTAGAAAATGTCTTAATTTGATCCCAATGTCTAAAGTAGTAGTTAAAATTAATCTTAATAGTTAAATGTGAGGTCATTTTGGTTATTATGGTCTATGTGAGATTATATTATTTTTATGTTTTTATTATTTATCATATTAAAATAAATACAAAAATTATAAAGAAAGTTAACCAGCTAAATAAGAAGAGTGAATAATTAATAAATATGGTTAACTTCCATTATGATTTTTGTATTTATTTTAATATGATAAATGACAAAGTATATAAAAATAATAATATAATCTCACATACATCCTAATTCTCAAAATGTCCTTATATTTAATTATTGGTGTTAATTTTAACTATTATTTTTTATCTTAGGACCAAATTGAAACATTTTCTAATAGTCAGAGAACTAAATTGGGGGAATTATGAAAGTTTGGGACTAAATTGGGCATTTACTAATAGTTGGAGTACTATTTTAAACTTTTGCTCTTTAATTTTATGTGAAATGAAGCTGCTTTTTATAACTAGATCTACTAGTGTAAGACAGTTGTAAGAAAGTTGTTATCTGATTTTTTTCAAAGAATAAATGTATATACTACCTACAACTTTAAAAAAAAGTTAATTTCCCCATGATAATTTTACAATCAACTTTACAAAATATTGAATTTGTCCAAACGAAACCTCAATTGCGAGGCACATTCTTTTGAAATTCAATCGACAGCTCCTAAAAACTTATGAAGACTTACAAATTTGGTTTTTTTTAAAGTAATTTTTGCGGTGAGGTAAAATAAGTTTAATTGGACCCCTCATGTGGGTGCTGGGTATGTTTAAGATAATTTTATCTTAAAATTATCTTAAGAATTGTGTAACGCTTTTAGGTCGCCATTAGGTGCAGAGGGATGGAGAAAATGTTTGTTTAAGCATGGTATCTGTTCATTATATAATGAAGGATGCCTCTCTTCTCAAATAAATCAACAAAAATTGGAGTTTCTTGATTTATTTGTGTGTTTATGTGGAGTGGAGCATTACTCGGATGTAATCAAAGCCCAATTTATTTTTAAGTCAATATTCAAACTTTCACACTATAGAGAAAATGAGATAAACTACATGGACTTAAAGGTGATGGAGTAAATCAATTATTTTAACCAATTTCAGTTTGCTTCCAGTCCTCCTTATTTGACACTGCAAAACAAATTTTCCTGATAAATATTTTTTCTAACTTCACTACCATTTTTGCACAGCACAAACAAGCTTAGTTTCACTCCAGAATTCCTAGGGCGCGTCAAACTTGTTACTTCTGTGGCATCCTTGGTGGGTGTTGGTACGTACAATGCATTTCTAAAGAAGGTTCCTTTAAGGAAAATCTTTCTCGGGACAACCATTATTGGTTCAGCTCTTGGGATGACTCAGGTGCTTGTCTTGCCATCTCTAAAGGCGCACTTTGGCTACATCTCTGCTGGCTAATCAGATTGCACATCTTTTAATTGTTTACACAGGTACTTCTTGTCACTGGATTAAATCGAGAGTATGGGATAAGTGATGAGTGGTTTGCCATCGGTGACTCCTTGATCATAACGGTCCTCAGTCAGGTGATTATTATTTGCATACTTTGCTGAATTCGGTTAGTTGCCGTGTTATCTTACCAATCATGATTAATGTAGAAAACATAGTTTGGACACCTGTATTCATTGAATCTTTTTTTCCTTGTCCTTTTGGCATGTCTATATTTCTTGCTTGCCCCACAACAACCCAGCTCGCTCACAAATACTCCTGGACACTAGTCAAAGCAAGCAATTAAAATTATTCATGTCCAACTTGTTGGTATAATTTTTCTAATTTTTTACCAAAAATTGAATTTTATTATGTGATGTATAATTTTAGGATGTAGGAAGTGTATGGCATGTTTAAGAATGTAATTTATTCTTATTATTTTGAAAAGTGTTATCATGTTCCTTCCGTGGTTTTTCAAAGTGAATGAACATGTTATTATTGAGTGTTTATGATCATTTAAATCCCAATTAAATCCCACGTAAGTTGAGATAGTCTTATGGGGATAATAATGGCTAAGATGGCCATGATGTGAAAGACTATATATATATAGGCTTTATGAATCCTAGTTCTCCATTCATTCATGTTTAGCGTTGTGGGAGGAATTAAATTTTTTGTGTGTGAATCTTTTTACTTGAGTTCTATTCATCTTACCTTCGATCCACCCCTTTTTCTTCTTATTCCCTCAAATTTAAATTTATCGACCCATCTCTTTGTTCTTCGTTTTACTTTCCTAAACCTCTTTAATTTATTTTTTATTGTCTTAACTTCAATTGATGTTACTCTTATCTTACTTTCCTAAACCTCTTTAATTTATTTTTTTACTGTCTTAACTTCAGTAGATGTTACTCTTATCGTTCCTCTAATATCATAAGATCTCATTATTTCTTTCCCGACTTTGCCACACATTTATCTTAACGTTCATATTTTTATTATACTCAACTTATCTATCAATGACCTGTTATTATTCAACAATGACAACTATGCAATATATGTATTAATTATTACTGTTTGTAAAATTTGATTCTTTAAAATTGAAATAATTTTTCTAAACTTATGTTCTATTATCCCCTCACAAGTTAATTGTAAAACTTAATTCTCCTATAATTTCTACCAATCTTAGTATCTTCTTTGGCTTTGAATAGTGATGCTAGAATAATACTTCTACACTCACCTGACATTCTCTTAGTTTCAAAATTTCATTGAAAAGATTTGTTAACCAAATTACTCCAAGGTCGCCCATGAACTGCACCATTGCAGCTATAACTCAGTTAATTGAAGAGGATCCGAATCTGAGGTTTAATCTGCCTTCCAGTAGATACCATATTTTGGCTTTATTAAATGCCATTTAATGAGTGGGTGATATCTGTTCACACAGGGAGATAGAAGATATACAATTTGTATATTTTTGGAGTGTAAAGTATAAACAGTCATGAATAGATAAGAATACTAAGGCAATATTTTGAAAAATACTGTTCGTTTCAAAGTTCTTTGAGAAAAAACCATAGTAATTATACTCGAACTTAACGAATTTTCATTTTATTTCTGCGTCTGTCCAAAGCTACCATCATCAGCTGCTCACATGTTGAAAACTCTGTTTTATTAGGCCTCATTCATGCCTGTGCTGGTTCTAGCGGCAAGGCTGTGCCCTTCTGGGATGGAAGCAACTCTTTTTGCAACTTTAATGTCTATCTCAAATGGTGGAAGCGTAGCTGGTGGTCTTATGGGTGCTGGCCTGACTCAACTTCTTGGCATCACCAAGGACAGCTTCGACAATCTGTCTCTCTTAATTATTCTTTGTAATCTCAGCTCACTACTGCCTTTGCCACTCCTTGGCTTACTCCCAGTTGATATTCCTGAAGAAAAGAGCTCTGAGATCGAGCAAACTAAGTTGAGCTGATGATTATGATCTCCGATTTATGCTGCAGCTTGGTTGGTTCATTTGCTCGGTTTGACACTCTGCTTAGGTTTCGTTTGGGACGGCTTTCTTATTGCTTCTTGAAGCAGCTTTTTAATAATAAAAAAAAAAGTCGCTTTACGGAGCAATAAAAAAGCCGTCCTAAACGAAGCTTTACACTCAATCTAACTTAGAGAGGGCGGGCTTCTCAGAATAAAATCTTTGGGGCCATTTTCTCGCCTTATTGCAACTGACATACATAATGTGTTTGAATTTGGCTTAAATTTGATTCAGAGGCAAATAGAATCGTGAAGGAAGTTTCTCCACTGCAAAGAAAAGCAAGCTCTGCTACAGAACATTTTGTTTGCTGCTATTTCTGTTTTAGTTAAGCATCTGTAAGTACATCCGAAACCTTCTGTTCATTACCTGTTTGATGTCAAGATGTTTTGCTGCTACGTTTGTACATAAAATTGTAGTACTAAATGCTTTTTTGAATGAGAGCAAATTCAAAGATGCAAAGCATGCCACTGTTTTCATTTCCCCTTTTGTTTTAAAATTTAATCTATGAAATTTGGGTTCTTTTTTCCCCTATTTCTTGATATTTCTTGATGCAAGCTGAATCAGGGTGTGATTATCTAATACAAGTAATATGATTTATAGGATTTTTTTTCTTACAAATAAAAATAGAAGATTCATAGGCCATATGCTACCAATTACAATCACAAATATTTGAGAATTTTGATGAAAATTTGAAAAAAAAAAAATAATTTCAATTTAAGCTTTCTTGAATTTAGATTACCAAGAGAGACACTTGCCCGAAAAGTATTTTATTTTGATTGGTATTTATTTATTTATTTATTCAATTTCAATTTAAGCTTTCTTGAATTTAAATTCACCATGATTTTATCAATAGGTTTAAATTATTATCATTATTTTTAACTTTAAAGTCCATGACTCTATAAGAGTAAGATCATGAATTATTTTACTATTATCCTCCCATATAGCCTTCACAAGCTTATAAATATAAGGTTGATAGGTAAATTTTGGGTACCATGCTAGGCCAAAAACTTTATAGCTCTTCTTCTTTCTTTTCCATCTCCCCTCCTTTTTTACTCCAACTAGTCTTGCTAGTAGGGTCAAGGTGTCACGCACAAATAAAATTGAATTCAATAGATTCCATCTTTTTTCATATTTAATATTTTTCAGATGTTTCATTGAATATAAATGCACCATAATTTTATCATCAGATTTTAAATTTTTATACCTCTTACTTACATCGGTATATGCCTTATAATTATCATTAGCAATATCCTAATGTGGATCATGCATATATTGTATATGGGTGTCAAAACCGAGTTTCGGGTAGAATTTGGGTCGAATTCAGAACTGATCCAACTACCTCCACCAATACAAGTATTTAGAGACTTGATAAAAAGAAAAAAAAATACATCCACCAAACTTATGTATATACCTATTCACACATTAAAATATATACATCAAGCAAACATGAAAATAACTATATATATATATATATATATCATCAAAAATTTATCTTAGACCTGAATCTAGTATGAAACTTTAGAAATTAAATCTTACCCCATCCAAACTTCCATTTAAGCAAACTTATAGTCGAACTAAATATCTCAAAAAGACGGCCAACGAAAAATCAAAAGGAAGAGAAATTTGAGATATCTCTTTCCACCATGCTCCTCCTCAACTAGCGCCCGAGCACCGACCATCGTCGAGCTTACGCCTAGCCACCGATTGTCACCAGATTTTCTCCCAGCCACCAACCGTCACCCTACTACGATTCATCTGACCACCATCGCCGACTGCAATCTTTCCGACCTCCGTCGTCTGGCAACTATGATCCTCTTGACCATCATCACCTAAATACAATAATTCTGATCTTCATCGCCCACGGACTACGGTCCCTCTGGCCACCATCTTTAGACTAAGGTCTCCCCGATCGCCATCAACCAACTATAATCCTTTCGATCACAATTACAATACAACGATCATTCTGACCTATGTCACCCACCAATTGTAGTCATTCTGACCTCCATTGTCCGTCAACTACAATCCTACGACCACCGTTGCCAACTACGATCTTTCCTATCTACGTCGTCTGCCGACTACGATCCTCCCGAACATCGTCACTCACTACGATCTTTCTAACATCTGTCACTCGCCGACTATGGTCTCTCCGACCACCATCTCTAGACAACGATCTCTCCGACTGCGATCACCCTACTACAATATTTCTGACCTTCATTGCCCAATAATTATGGTTCCTCCAACCAACAGCGTCTGCCGATTATGATGCTGCCAACCACACAAACATGTTAACACTGATTCTTCTAACTCCCACTATGTAATGCCCTTTCTATGATATATATTTACTACATCGAGCCAAGATCTTCTCTCCAAAAAAGGGCCTCATTTATAATCAACTACAAATACTAGTAAATTCATTTAAACTAAGAAATGCCCCCATAATTTTTCTCCCTTCTCAAAAATTTCCACATAAAAACTCATACGTCTCTTATGAATGTTATGCCCCTATCTTTTATCTGTTTATATATTACATCTTCATACAAAACAAAAATGTTAAATTTTAAGGGGATTTACATACTTCCTACTTTATTTCAAGCTATTTACATATCTAACACACAAAACAATAATATTACATATTTATCACCCATAAAACAAATTTAGGTGTATGAAATGAAATATTAAAACTTGTAAGATTATATAAATGATAAAAATGAATTATGGGAGTGATATATTTGATATTAAAATTTTATATGGGTGGTTAGGATATAATATCAAAATTTTAAATGTTAGATATATAAATAACATAAGTTAAAGTGACATGTATGTAAATTTCCCTAAATTTTATCTCTTTCTACCACCACATATGTTCCAGGGCACAACAATATCCATTCCAAAAAAGCTATTTATATCCTTTATTTGACAAAAGAAAATTTACGAGGTGATTAAAAAATAAAGTTTATCTTCCAATTTATTTTTTTTAGCAGTCATTTTCATAACAAATAGTAACTTGATAATAATAATAAATAAATAAATAATAGACGATGTAAAAACTTCTTCCAAGCTAAAAAAAAAAATAAAAATAGCGCTAAATTTGTAGAAGAATTTGACAAAATTAATCTGCAATACAGTTCAAAATTTTCAATTACAGTTCAAAAATGTGAAGAATTAGAATTTTACCGCCGTGTAGCCAATGCATTAGACGGCGATGTACTTACGAGCCTACATTCACGCCGTAATTATCTTAAATTAAGCACCGTTTAAAGTGGGTGCAGCTTTTAAAAAATTAATATTTGTAAATCAAATTCAGCTCAAATTTATTTTTTAATATCATCTTTCTTATTACTGCTAACTAAACTCTAACAAATCCAATTATAAAAAAAGGTCATCTTTTTTTTTTTTAAATAACAAAACAAATTAATAGTGGTTAAATGAAAGTGTGGCTATGTTATTAAAAGCAAAGCAGTTACAACGCAACCCCAAACAAATCTTTAATCTCGTTATTATCAAGAGTGAATAATGAATGATAAAACTTAATTTATACAAATCATAAAAAACCATTCTTATAATTCTAATTCTACAGACAATGAAATCACATAATCAAAGCATAAATATATACTAGGTGTCAATCCGAAAACTTAACTTAAACTAGACATGAATTTTTCAAATTAGGGTCAACCCGTTTTAAGAACGGGCGGGATTAAGTTCTTCATTTTTGACCCATTTTAAATTCCGGATTGGGTTCAAGTCAACCCAAAAACCCAATTTGACCCAATTTTTCCTACATGCTTCTCTATCGCGTCACTATATGAGTTCGACTACATGAATCATTTTTCTCCATTGTGTCATGTTAAGAGTCAAATTATTGTTTAAATCTAATAAAGAAAGATCATTTCTAATATTTTCTAACCAAGTCTTTTTAGGTCTACCTCTACCATTCTTAACATAAATCAAATCTAATACCTCAACTTTCCTAATAGGGTCGTCGGAAGGCCGCCATTTTATGTGACCAAACCATCTAAGGTGACTCTCTATAATCTTATCATTTTATCGTATATGCTCATTTTGTATCCTATCTCGAACGATAAAGCCACTCATCCTCATGAGCATCCTCATCTTTGCAACACTTGTATTATGATTCTCTTTTAATAGCCAACATTCAGCACCACAAAGCATTGCAGGTCTCACCACCATCTTACAGAATTTTCCCTTGAGTTTGAGGGGGACTTTTCTATCACACAACAAATCCGATGCATTCCTCCACTTCAACCATACTAGTCAAAAGATATGCAAAAATAAAAAGATTAATTGGGTGGAAAATCACTCAAATTAAACAGTGACAAAATAACAACCAGTCAATAAGATCAATGCTGTAAATCAGTCGTATATGATCAACTTAAAAAAGGTAGCACTTAGAGTGAAAGTCAAACTGAATAGTATCTCAGTTAACAATGAAGCATACAACATAGATGAAAACATAAACTAAAATTCAAATCTAATTGCATCCGAGGATAGCAATTTTACAGATAAACTCATCAACTTCCTTGTAAAATACAAGGAGCAACAGATAGCAGTTATTCATGAAGGGTAAAATGACAACGGATTACATTACCGCCTGAAATACTTAGATCCGTCTTATGGAAGAACCAGCACCACATTGCATTCTTCGGTAGAGATCTAGTTAAAAAAAGGCAGAAAGAAGAAAAAAAGATGAAATTTTAGATGTTGATTCCCATAATAAAGAATATTTTGTGCTGCTAAGCAATGAAAGTGGAGTAAATCTATGTACCTTGATATGAAGAGTTTTTTAAGCCGAACTCCATGAAGATAATACTTGGAACCACAGAACTACGAACAGGGGGACTCTGAAACTTAGAAATAGAAGAGGAAGCTTCTGCTACAAAATAGCAGAAGATGAAGACGAACATGGAACTGAAAGTTCTAAGGTGAATGATGAAGCTAGAATTCTGTGGAGTTGGGAAAAAAAGGACACAAGCAAAAGAACAGCAGCTATGGCCTATATGCAAGAAGAAAAAAAAAACATAGAAAATAGAAGTGTAGTCATTCTTTCACCCTCCCAACTTTTCCTTTACAAAAAACCAGAAAAAGTGGCCAGGGATACGGGAAGCCTTAGGAAGGCAAAAAGACTGAGGTGAGAAAGAAAGAGAAACAAGCAGAGAAGAACAAGGGAAGAGGAATGATACATAACCAAGGAAAGCAACCTAGATGATAAACTAAAGACTCGACTTTTACTCCTGATATGCAAAGAATCCTACTTGTTCTACTGAGACAAAGACATGTACAGGGATCATGTGGCATAGACTCATATCAAACTACTAGGAATTTATAATAAAATTGAAAAACAAGTGATTTAAGCCAAGGATAGAGAAACTTAAAGGGTAGAAATCTCAGCAGGCAGAGAAACACCCATTACCAGACAGAGCCACAGCCTAATTTATGATTAAGCATTGAGCTAGACATCAACCTCACTGCTACTTTAAATAACCTTTTAAAGTTGTTTCGACAGGACTATCCCGATAGGTAAGAAGCCACACCACCCAACAAGTTATTCACAATTTGTACATACAAGTTATCGAAAAAACTACAACCGCACCAGCGCCTTGCAAAACTAAAGAAACCCAAATCCTCAAGACCTCAGTTCCCAAGATCTAGATTGAGAATCCGTCGTAGATTTTGTGTCGCAGAAGCAGTACAATAAAAGAAATCATTAGCATGGGATAGGGGGGAATCCCTTCCAGGCGAAGCCGGAGCAGACTTAGCCACCGGCTTAAGCTCAGTGTCAGAGCCCAGATCAGGAAGGTCAAGTGAAACACTTCTTTTCGGGCGGAGAGAGAACTTAGGGATGGGAAGTGAACTCGGAGGTGGGGAGTTCGAGTATGTAGGACCAGCCCAGAGCTCAGAGCAAGAGATTTCATCACAGAAGACGGAAAATTTTAGGGATGAGTTAGGGCTAATTGTAATAGGGTTGCTTTTCCCGGTTGGTTTTGGGGTTTCTGATCGGATTCCCGAGCTTTTGAGCTCCAGGGCATTGCTATAAGAAGGTAAAATCGGTGCAGGAGAAGGAAGAATTCCGCAACCGGACTGGAAGGTCCGGCAGTTGATCCCTTTGAATCCACTTGAAGGAGAAATTTCGAACCCATCAGAGATATGTGCCTTGCTTCTTCTGCATGCCTGGTTGCGAGCGATAACAACAAGCGTCTCCATATCAAGCAAATCTACCAAAGAAAACCAATTGAAATAAATCCAACTTTAGATCGAGCACAAAGAAATCCGGCATAGCGTACATACAAATTAGAACTGAAAACAGAGTAAAGTACTGCCGATCTAGACGATAATCGCCACATATAAGAGTTATAGAGCGCCGAACCTTGAGATCGCACTTCCTCAGCTCCGATCTACAAGCGAAGTTCTACTAAGGTTTCTACAACACGAGTCAAAAAGGTCCGACAGTAATACGCCGACTGTCTATACACGCAACTTGAACTTTCTTCAATTTCACTATTTCCACATCCAAAATCCCCTAAATCCACAGATCGGCAACCAAAAACTTCAGATAAAGAACAAAAGCTCCTCTAAACCTACAATATTAAAAAAAAAAAAAAAAAAACTCACGAATTCATCCAAAGAAGCATTAGTTCGTCCCTGGTACGTGCACTCATCCACTTCATCTGATTCCTCTATAACTGAACTCCATTTCTGAAAAACAGCAGCAGCATCACCAAAAATCGCCAGCTAGGAAGACCAAAAAACGATCAGCCCAACTATTGAGAAGCAATCGACACAGAGATCTGTAAATGATTTTGCTGAGGAAGATGGCGCCCCAAGGAAACTGATTTTGTTGCCCTAAAATAATTCTCTCTCTATCTCTCTCTCTCTCTCCACTTTCAACGAGACACCAACCTTGAACCGGCTACGGATCTGAAATCACTCCTAGCCGGATTTAAATATCGCCGTAGTGGATTTCTAATCCGTCGAATCTCGATAATTAAATAATGATTAATTAATATTAATGATTTAATGGTGTTAATTAATAACAATTTTAAAATTTAGTTTTTACAATATTTAATTTTATTAAAAAAATGTCTTATTTACACTCGAGTAACTCGAGTTGGTCATTTTTTAACAAAATTACCAGTTTACCATCTCATGTTAGGGATGTTAATTCGGGTCAACAGGTTGGGTTCGGATCGAACTCGGACTGACCCGACACTATTCGGGTCAACCCTATCCGTCCCAATTCAGGTCCAGATCAACCCGACACGACACAAATGACCCGAAGTTGACCTAAAATTGTTAGTTTTGGGTCAAAAATCGGGTCAATCTTCGATTTTCGGGTCAAAATCTGGTCAATTTTGGGTTTCCGAGTCAATACGAGTTTTCATGTCAATTTCGGGTCATATTCGGGTCAGTTTCAGGTTACTATGACTGACAAAATAATAATTAACAAGTATTAAAGTTAAGATAACTATAGTTTCTAATTAATTAGGAATTAATCTTAAAATAATGAATACGAAGATTAAATTATTTAATTCAAATAATTGCCAAAAACACAAAACGTCTTAAAGATGGAAAAAATTGAAAGAATTTAATCAACCAAAGTTTCAATTTGTAGCTTTTTTAATAAAAAATAATTTTGAAAAATGACATAAATCAAATTTTAATTATTAATTTAAATCCATTGAGTAAAATTAAATTACTACTTTTATTTGTCTAACTTCTGTTATATATTTTTAATTTCTTTATCAGACTGAAAACACCAACTTATAACCATTCAAATCATAATTTTCAATATTTAAATCATATTATATTATTATTTTTTATTTTTAAATACTTTATCATCAAATAGGTAAGAGTTTCAATTTATTTCAACTTTTTATTTGCAACAATTGGTCTTATTTGACTTTGTCCTTTTTTTAATGCCAAATGGCATGCTACAATAATATTTACCATTTTTAAAAATTATAAATCCCCCCTCGCTCAATAAAATAATTATATGGTTTTATAGGATAAGCATCAAAATTAAAAATCAAAAAAGTTGACGTGGTAATTCACTATGACCATCCAATTTAACAAAAAAAAATTTCATAGGCTAGGTTTGGGACAATTTCATTGTTTTTATATCGCAATTTTAATTTTTATTTAGCCACTTCTTTTTATTTAATTAAAATAAAATTTATGCTTGCTTTAAAAAAATTTATTTGCTCTACAATCTACAAAAAGTTATAGTCGTCCCTAATGAACCCTTAATTTAATTTTAGATTTCGTTAGGGACAACTTTCTTAATTATTTCTAAAGCTATTTTTTAGTTTAAAAACTTATTGAATTATAAATTTTGTACTAAAATTTTATTTTAAAAGACAGTACAAAAATTATCTCAACTGATGCCTTAAACTTTATTATTGATTTTTTTATAATGGGGTACCTACCCCCTGCCACCCCAAATGGAACAATTATTACGTCCTCCGACCGGACGTAGAGGAACGTCCGGTTGGAGGCCAAATCGCGCCAAAAAATGAGAAATACCTAGCAAATACTGAGCAATACCAAACAATAACAAGGAATACCATTACGTGAAGACTCAATACCGAGTTATACCGAGCTATACCGAGCAATACCGAGTTATACAAAAGTTGTACCAAGTTTTTCCTAGAAAAAACTCGGTACAACTCGGTATAACTCGGTATAACTCGGTATTGATCTTCAAAGAGCGGTATTCCTCGTTATTATCAAATAATACCTAGCAAATACCGAGTTTTTTGGCGGGATTTTACCTCCGACCGGACGTTCCTCTACGTCCTTACACCGGACCTTATAAAAGTTCTCCCAAAGGAGGTGCATGGAGGCGTAACTAATCCCTCGGTAATAGTTATGAATTTCGTCACTAGGAAAGTCCTGATGAATGCTAGTTAGTTGTAAGTTATGAATTGATCCACATGCTCAGCAATAGTCAAGATCCTTGCATGTGTTCTAAAGTTCGTTAGGAGAAAAAAAATTTTTGACATTAAGAATATTATGAATTTTTTCATAAGATCATTAATTGGGATAGACTCCTTTAAGATTTTATGGTGAGCCTACCAGCATCAAATTTCATAAATGCAGGATCTCATAGTTATTTTCTATCCACTTAAAAAACTTTATTATTAATAGATGGATTTCTTCATTGGCATCCACTTGTCAATTAGCAATATTAATTTCATTTAATATAGTTGGATTTGTTGGAAGGTTTCTCGGGAAATCGACAGAGTAATTGTGGAAGGAAAAAAAAAAACTACAAATGGCAAAAGAAGACATAAATGTTGGCATTTGTTTCGTTGATAGTGACATTTTTGTGTTTGAGTGATTATTACAGTTCAAATACTTGCATCAGAAATTTGAAATTGGTGACTCCAATTGATTGTAATTTGTTGAAAATTGGCAAAAAGATGTCACAATGGTTTATATTGGCCCATATGTCGCATGCAAAATTAAAGTCTCATATGCACGCGAAACTATTACGCGCGGTTACTTTACTTGTTTTGAGACGAATTAGAACGTGTCATGCCATCATTTTGATGTGTATCACGAATGTGTATTGCTATATAGGGGTGTCAATTTCGGGTCACGGGCCAGGTTCGGGTCGAATCCGAACTGACTCGGGTGCAAACTGTAATCCAACCCGGGTAGATAAACGGGTCGGAAATCCGAACCTGAACCCGACACGGCGGGTTACCGGGTTGACCCGACCCGACATGGGACCAGCGGGGTGCGTGGGCGAACCGGGCGAAGCGGGCTCTAGCGGGCGAAGCGGGTGCGGCGGTGCGCTAGCGAGCGAGCGAGGGTGCGGCGGTGCGCCAGCGGGCAAGCACGGGTGCGCACGAGGGCGAGCTCGTGTGTGGCGCCAGCTAGGGGTGTCAATATTTGACACGACACGAAAACCCGACTCGAACCCGACCCGAAAAATCCGGGTTGGACCCAACCCGAATGCAAAACGGGTCGGGTTCGGGTTCCAGAAATCGACCCGTTTGAAAAACGGGTCGGGTT